GCCAAGAGACGTTGTCTACGTTGGAATTGTTCAATGATAGGGTCTCAAAAAAATGCAAGGTTTTCCGATACCCAAAGGAAGGCCAAGATATTCGACAGGCAAGGAGTCAGTTTATGCAAAAACAAAAAGGACATCAAGGGGAAACCCAATTCCCAAGAGCTTAGATTGGGCATCCAGAGGAATCCCAATTCCCAAGAGCTTAGATTGGGCACCTCAAGGCAATATAAACTTCAAAGTATGAAGTGCAGCAAAAAACGAGGGTGTTGTCTGTGTATTAGAGGTGAGAGATTGTTTCACAATTGCTAGAAGATTTAAGGCTGGAAAGGAGACCCGAATGGTATAATCTCACAAGGGTTATGTTGAAGACCTTGCAACAACGCAAAAAGAAATGGTGAGATAGTCTCTCCTCGACAAAGACCTTTCGAGGAGGATAGCGGCCCTTTAAGGAAGCGTTGAAAAGGACGAGGAAAGAGGAGGAAGGAATATTAGCCATGTATTCATATCCTCCATCTCCAGTCAAGGTCCCTTTTGGAAATGACCTAGTCAAGCACAGCCTAGTCTACATTGTCATAGGCCTTCTCCCAGTTCAATTTGAGAATAAGACCAGTGGTTTTGGTAAGGCCTCTGGAATGAATAGCTACATGAGCTATAAGAGCCCATCGAGAATGTGGCGGTTTTGGACAAGACCACAATGATGACTTCCCCCTATATCCACAGAAGTGCATAAATATAAACACTAATGCAAATGCAACTGAATCAAATATTCGAACCAGAGAATAGATCCTCAATTTCTTAAGATGGAGACCTTGGTGAGCCAATACTGTTTATTATTTCCCACCTGACTGTGTTTATCATCTTTAGTGGTAGTTAACACCTCAATTTGCAATTGTAGTTAGAACTTGCAAAAATCCATGAACATGACCTTGAAGACTATGGCAGAATTGAATTCCATTAGAAATACTATATACACTAATGAAAAAATCAACAAGGGAACACCAACTTACATGCCTATTTTTTATGAATCAACATATCACATGCTTTTTCTCCTTGAAAATACATAAAAACAAATAAGTAAAGATGGTCTAGCATCAAATAAAGCTCACCGAGTCACATGTTACATGTTCATAATAACAGTTCCATAACCTTCTTATTAAAAAGTAGTTAAAGCCTACTTATAATGTGAAGTTTAATTATAACAATCTTTCATTTCCATGGCCCAGTTGATGAAATACCCAGCATGAAGGCAAATGCAGCCATTCACATAGTAACATAGTTTCCAGAAACATACTTCAGTGAAGGAGCACCCCAAGACAAATGTAAACAATGAATGGGGGAAGGCTTGATATACTCCAGAAAGCAAGGCCCTGCAACATCAGTGAAGCTGATGGTCACCCTCCTTATAGGTCCCATAGAAGCCTCTTAAATTACCATGAGCAGCTACATATGTCCTTAGATACTTGCAATCATCATGGATACTTGCAGGCATGATCGAGATCTTTTTATCCAAGACCACTTTGCGAACTTGAGTCCAGTGGGTTGGCACACATGCATGGGTTCTTTTCCCTATTTCCGTGGCTTGGCAGGTCTCTGCATCACCCTCACCCTTGACCTTCCTCACTTTTTCTTCCCTGCAGTATGCATTTCTATCTATTTACACTCCATGCAACTTAATGAGCTCCTGGAGGAGTTAAAGTCTCCATAGAGTGCTTGTTAACGTGGAAGAAAGAAGGTAAATAGGATGCTAAATGGGCCAAATACACACTTCTAGTCACAGTATGCAGACCTGATCCGGTCTTGAATGAGTGGATTAGGTCAACCTGGCCGAAGAAAAACTAGGTCAAGTTACTTTACATAACCAAAGATTTACCAAAACTCAACGTAAAGTCTATTTAGTCAGATTTAATCGAATCAAGTTTAGAGAGCTGGTCCAGTCACTTGTAATGCCTCCATCCCAACTCCCTCCCTTGTCCCAGCACCCTCCTCCGTCACTCCATCCCTCGTCCCAGCACCCTCCTCCGTCACTCCCTCCCTCGTTCCAGCACCCTCCTCCAGCACAGCACCGTCCAGAGTCCCACCACCCCCATTAGCTCCAGCATTACCCTCCTTCCTAGTATTCTCCAACTCTTCCCTACCTCTCCCACAATTACACACACCTCTAAAGAGCCTTTGCTGCCCAACCCCCTCCTCCTCAACACCAATTGAACTATGATGAAGTCCTTAATCCCCCCGGTCAGCCCACAAGGGCTTCCACTACCGCTTCCTTCCGTCATGCCCACCCTCACCCACTCTCAATTTAAACACCCTAACCTTTTAACCTTAGATGGTCCTTTCTTCCCTGAACTCTGCAAGGAGCTTTGTCCACCTTCATCTAAACAGTATTCCTCCCCCTCCAAGGTGATGGCCAAATAGTTTGGTCACTTGTTGCCTATGGCATCTGTTCGGTTTCCTCATTCGATCGCTCTCTTTGACATACATCACTTCCGTCAGCCCTCTCCTCCCCTCTATGCCGAAGGCCTGGTTTCCCTTTATTCCCCCAAGAACACAGGTCTTCAATTGGATAACCCTAGCTGAGTGGGGCCTTGATAGTGGACTAGTTATAAAGGAGAGGCCTACCCATACCTAATAGATGCACAATGTGCTTGACAGCCGAAGAAACGAACCCTCACCTCTTCATCAATTGCAAGGTGGCCACTGACCTGTGGGGGGACTTGTTACACTTTTTGGGTGGGTATTGGATAACTTCGAGAAATGTCCCCAATCTCTTCACCTAGTTGCACCCACTCCCTTAGGCTAAAGCTGGCATCATGCTTTGGAAGTGTCAGTCATAGCTCACTTTCTAGTGATTTCTTTAGTAAAACTCATGCCAGAGGATTTATTTACCTCTCTCTCTCTCTC